TTATATTTATAGTTAGTAATTTAGAGATTTTGTATTATTTAGTAATTTAGTGATTGTATTTGTTATTTAGTATATTGTGTTTTTGTTTTATTTTTATATATATTTTTCTCCTTGTACTTTGTAACCATTTTCTTTCCCTTCGGGGATTGTGTAAGAGTCAATAAGTAAACAAATAAATAAATAAATAAATAAATAAATAAATAAATGTTAAAAATTCATCAAAATCATGCACTTCTGCAATTCCGATTATTATGCATGCACAGATTTTGTTCAAACTTGGTATATACATTGTACGTCATTTTGTTTATTACTTCATACAGAGCATATCATTTGAGAAGAGTGATTCCTTCACCCGCCTGTCACTTGAGCAAACCAAGACCCATGATAGCTAATAATAGTATCACTCGCAATTTAGCCCATTTTCAAAAGATTTAATAGCATGGTTTTCCTAATCACTCACCTTAATTACTGTATTCATGCGAGATATTAACTCTCCTTCCATTATTTTCAAATGACAAGTCTTGTTCTGATGATAGTTCTTTGTTCTTATTATAGATGTATGGTAAAGAAATGCAAGTAGATTCATGGAAATCACAATATAAAGAAGTTTTAAGATCAGAAGGAAAACTAACACCTGGTGTAGCGAAAAATGGAATTTAGAAACATCGTATCTATTGAATTTCTACTCGCTTTTGATACATTACAACAGAATAAATTTTGTTTGAGGCATCTCATTTTTTTGGAAGTGAAAGAAGAGCAAGATGACATGTATAAACTGCGTGAATACCTGGTAATGACTTCCAAGTTAGCCAATGACGTCAAAATGATTAGCGGATATTTAGGTACTGAACCTTCATATTATAAACAAAGAGTTATACATTGTATCCTAATGTTACAACTATGTTTAAGTCACACATCTGCAAATATCTCCCACATAGAAAGCTGAAAAAAAATGCTGGTTGGTAAAAAATTACTTTTCCAGCTATTTGCATGTTATTATGTGTTTACCAAAAAAACGTCAAGGTGAAAGATGCTGCAGTTCAAAGATATGTGCTACCAAGGATTCATAAGATAAGAGTATACAATCTTGATGACACATGTATGGTGATATGCAAATGTTCCAAGGGCATTCAAAATCCTTCTGACCAATAGCCATCACAGAATGAAATGCTTAAAAAGATTTGATTGTGGAAACAGAACAGAACAAGTTTATTGTTCAAAAACACATCTCGGTTAAAAAAGAGTTTGTGAATACACAAGAGCACTAAGGACTTGAGATGAACACCAACCAGTCACTCATTTGCAATTTAATATTTGTAGACATGTATGTTTGTTTTGCATTGATGATAACCTCTCAATTCATGCAACTTCAAGTTGGTTATGCATCACATAGCACTCCAGGTGAATACAAATATTAGATTGATTGATAACGTATGAACAACCTGTGTAGAAAGACACCTTATGTCTTATGTGACCTCTCTTTCAGCAATAATTTGTAGTTTGTCTTTGTTTAATGACCAAAATAAGAATTAGCAATCTTTATAGAACAATTTTTCATTTTCTCAAGTCAAACTTATTTGTGTTTTTGGTGCAACAGTATCATCTAATTATTTTCTGGACAAATGGTATGTCAAATCTACTAGTTTGTGATTCATAAAAAAAATAATCCAACCTCCAGACAATTTCCTTGTTTCTTGGGTGGTTGCTATACACATATCTGACTGTAGTATATTGCACATCCTATATGGAAGTAGAAATATTATAAATGCATACTATTTGCACTGTACACAGCAATACCATGTGTTACAAACATTATTCTCAGTTTTCATCAAAGAAATGATGTTCTCTTGATAATATTTACATATTGAATTTTTCATGTTTGTTAAATAAAAAGAATCAACTACTCACTTTTTAGCTTCCTGTTAGGAAACAGGCTTTTATACTAGTAGTTTTGTGTCTGTGTGTCTATAATTTTTAGAGCATGCATATGGTTGCTATGAACACTAATAATTCCTCAGTTGTCATGAGGGAGTGATATGGTATTCTGCTGTGTTTAATTTCATTTCAATTACCTGAAATTTTTACTGTCTCTCCTTTTTCATGTTGCCAATTAGAATCAGTCATTCACATCTGAAGGTAAAAGAATGCTGTTATATATATGCAAGTGTCCCGGTTTATAAAACAAATTATTGACACTATCACAGCAGATCGCAAGCTAATTCTGATCTGTGCGCAAGATTTTGTTCTCAGAAATGACGTCACAATACACTAGCCTATAAAATGTAGCAAAGTGGTATGAGAAAGCTGTGGTCTGACTTTAGTGATTGTACAATTTGTGGAGCTCTTTCTTCTGGGAGCAGTATGCTGTTTGCACGGCCTTCCCCTTTAAGTGGAAATGTTTGTACTTTACTGTGATATATGGGTAGACAAGTAAAGTAATAAAACTATTTGCCTTTGATATGGAAGATGCTTACAAATACAAGAAACATAACAACATAAACAATAAGAAAATAATAACATTATTTGAACAAAACTATTTGAGACCCAAATTGTCTTGATGAATTTTCTGATGTTTCTCTGCAAAGAGTATTGTTCAGTGCCCATAATTTATCACTAAATAGAAAGAAAAATCTAAGTCTTTTAAGAGTCCAAAATTAGCTGCTACATTTAGCATGCTTTCTAAGTTGTTGGCAATCAATGCTACATCATCTGCCCATAATAGTCCTGGAATTGTTTTTTTTTTTACTTATCATAGCACCTAACTGTGAATTCAATAACATTTTGCAAACTCAGTAATGTATATTGAGAAAAGTAATGGACTCGAGACATATCCCTACTTAACTCTTTCAATGATTTCAAAATGTTTCAAGTTCATTAAAGTTAACCTTATTATATACATTTTCAATTATGTTCTACAAATGACCCCCTATCCCTTAAAATTTTGATATACACGAGTTAGAGTTCTGCTTCTATAATTAGTCCTCGTTCGGATGACGTCCAAAAACAGGGACTTATAATTGACCTCTATGCGTGCGGATTTGTATCTTAGACATGTCTCGGTCAATACATTAGACATGGGTCCCTGATGCATGTGATTTTTTTATTCTGATCTGTTTCAAAATGGCTGACTGGCGGTCATTTTGTTTTAATGAATGTGGTTCTAAGGCCATATCTCTGACATGCTTTGACTGATTATGTTCAAATTTTATATAATCATTATACATCATTTTATAGATATACAGATCTATTAGTTTGACAATATGATTCAAAATGGTCGAATGGTGGCCATGCATTGCCACCCCGCACAGCTAGATTTTTTTTAGCTAGAGTCCATACCAGTCTAGAGGAACCCGCCATTACGAAATACTATTATTTTTGTCTTATCAAGGTTCACCTGCATATCCAAGTGTTGACAGAATAACTCTAACTTATTTAATTTACTTTGTAAATAAATTGGCATGTCAGCTCCATCTGCTACGTAATCTTCATATAAAAGTATACTGACTGATGGACAGTCCTCGGTAACATAAAAACCACCCCCTGGTTCTAAATCCATACAATTAGCCAACTCGTTAATAAAAATAGAGAAAAAAAGAAAGGGGCTTAAAATACATCCTTGCCTTGTTCCCACAGTTCAACTATAAATATTCAGTAAGGGAACCATTAAAACGAACACAAGACTTTATTGGGAGTACATTGAGCGAAGAACCCTCAAAATGCTACCACGTATGCCTTTTGTAATCAATCTGTGCCACAATTTATTATGATTTATCCTATCGAAAATATTATATACATGCGTCCCCCCTTCTTCAATAATAATAGCATTTTCAGTGGCCCAATCATAAAAACGATTGTTCAAAAATACTGGTAAAAGTTTTGCTTACAATAGGTAATAGTGAGATGTCTCTGTAATTATTAACATCGAAACGAGAACCCTTTTTATAAATAGGTTGGATAATACCCTTGCACCATTCACTCGGGTACACCTTGGAATTCATAATAGCATTAAAGAGACTACATAGATAAGGAGATATAAAAGTTAGTGAACGATTAAAGAATTGTGGAATAAATCCATCTGGGCCCGGTGCTTTGTTTTCTGCTAACTTTCATTATACATCTAGTCATAAATGTACAGATATATGGGTTTGACAATCTGATTCAAAATGGCCGACCGGTGGCCATTTTGTTTTAATAAATGCTGTTTCAGAGCAACATCTCTCAATATGAACAAGTACGATCAGATACAAGATATCTGAATGTCAATCATTTTAATGTTAAAAAATCATAATCAAGCATCGCCTTCTGGATCCATGTCTCTGACATGTTTATGTTCAAAACAAAACTATATATCTTAAATTTGATAACTAACAGGGACTGTGCCATAAATGGCTTGTTATTTAGGGCTTTGGGGTAATTTTTATGAATAGGTTTTATTACTTGCTTCCACGCCTGTGGGATTTCATTGATTTCCAGAAAAGTGAAGCTAGAGACTCATGAGCAAAAGCTTGACCACTGTTTGAGAAATTCATTAGGAATATCTTCTGAACCAGTAGCTTTACCTGATTTAGTTAGATTCATAGGTGTCTGTAGTGACAATGTGTTTACTATTAATCATTTAACAGTTGATTTGGAACATTTCGATTTATTCCTAAATAACTTAGTAGATTTACTCCTTCTTTGGCTATTTCTACACTGAATATAACCTGGTATTTGAACATTTTTTTTAGCAAACTAGATCACGAGCTACATTCTTTATCAAGTATAATAATAAAGAAAATAAAAAGTGGTAATAAAGTACTTTCCCCGTACACTCAAGTTTTGAACGAGTGCCTATAAACTTGCATACCAGATCCTTGGGGATCAGACCACGTTGTTTCCTAGTATCGGGACCATCTTTTTGTCCAGTGAAAAGTTGTAGTACCTGAAGTCAAGGGTTGCCCCCCCCCCAATTCATTAATATGGAAATGCCTTTCAAAGTCCCGCGTTCAGTTGGGCGCTTGTATTACACAGCTTGTTGGCTCCCGGCACGGTTGTCATGCCGCCAGCACGGATGTGATGTTTAGTTGATCGAGAATGGTATTGTGGAATGCCGGTTGCCATTGTAATAACTGGTCCCCTGCGTACTCTCTTCGCGGCATTGTTACTGACCTACTGTATCACAGTAGCGGCAATAATACTTTACTAATCAAATAATATAAGGTTATTACGAGGATACCTCAAAATATGCACGAAGACAGTACGGCAGGAGTATCGACCGACGCACAGCGGAGGTCCATGCGACAGTGTACTGAGTGCATACTTTGATGTATCCTCGTAATAACCTTATTATTATACATCTTTTCCATCTAACGATACATCATGGGAATTACGGCACGATGTAACCATCGAGGTAAATGATGTAACTTATGGCGTAACGGTGACAGATGTATAATAATGTTATTTGGAACGAACCAAAGTAACCTTGAGTTATGTCCAATAATAACAAAACAAATCAAGAATATAGAAAATATATTTTGCAAAAATGGTATTTATGATTTTGGAATTCATAGTGTGATAAAAGAAAAAAGCAGACAGTGTTCAATACTAGTGGTTCATAATTATCGGGACGGGAGGGGTGAATATCTTATACAGTGTTGGTTTATTGGTACAGTAGGTGTACTTATTTTCACCGTAATACAGGGTATTATGGCGAGTCACATGACCTGTACCAATGTCGCTCAGACAACTAGTAGAAATACAGTTAGTTTTAACGGAAAACGAGGTTCTCATTTTATTTTTCTGTTTTCTCTACAGTGCGTGTGATGAATTCAAAACATCTGTCAACCGTGACA